AAAATGGTGGAACGTGTACTGACCGTGTCTTTGGGTATTCGTGTACCTGTGCTGCAGGATACACCGGAACTAACTGCGAAAAGAGTAAGTCATCGTTTCACGTGTTTTAGTTGTATTTCTCAGACCAAGGTCAAACGTCGAGCTTTAAATGAGCCGTACCTAATTGAACAAAATAAGTTTATGCGAAGTTCGACGTTAGACCCAACTAAGATTGAATTTGGATCGACTAAGTCGAACTTCACGACCACTTAGTCGGGAAACACGACTGTAGGTGGACTTGGGGTCAAACGTCCATCTTCACATGAGCCGCATCTAAATGCATAAATCATGTAGGCCAAGGTCAAACGTCGAACTTTAAATGAGCCGTACCTAATTGAACAAAATAAGTTCATGCGAAGTTCGACGTTTGACCCAACTAAGATTGAATTTGGACCGACTAAGTCGAACTTCACGACCACTTAGTCGGGAAAAACGACTGTAGGTGGACTTGGTCGTTGATCCTCATATGAGTCGATCTAAATGCATAAATCATGTTAATGTATGTTTTACACTCATTTTAATTAGTCTTTGTCGCCATACGCATGCGCCGTCAATAACGTTTTTAACATGGCTCTTGAATATTCATTCCAAGCTTTGGTAAACAAACCAAGATTTAGAGTCAAGAGGTTCATGTGCACTTTAACAAACAAGAGAGATTCAAGATTATTTTGAGATTTGTAAACATCTTAATGGAAGTACAGTACAACTCATTTCATGCATCAGCGAGGTTACATTTTTTATATAATTTCATTTTCAGAAACAACAAAACAAGCCGTTTGTGGTGATCAACATAAAACTGAGCAATTTTATAACGGTACCTGGTCGAAAGGCGAGAAACCCCTTTCAATAAAGTTGTGTGGAAACGACCAGAAGTGTGGTCATGGATCTTACTCGTTTGAAGCACTTTATAATATGTCCGGATATATTTTCTACACTAATGTTTCAGTACAGAGGAAAGGCTGTTTCAATACATCATGGTGTTCTGACCCATGTGCGTCACTGCGAAGACAACTATCATCAAACTCACAACTACGCATGAAAACGTGCAATATCACTTGTTGTGATGGAGACTACTGTAACATTAAAAACGCATCTGGTATTTGAATTTA